TTCCTGGCACTATAGTGGTCCTTTAAGTGTGTAGCAGATACTAATTAAACAAGTCATAAAGTGCTTTTTTTCTGCCTGACTTTTTTTTTTTTTACTTTTTAGCGTTCCAAACATTTTCCATCTTATATATGGGCTCTTAATAAGGTGAGAGTCTTTTTTGATATCGTGTTTTGGGTCTTTGATCCATATAGAAATACTGCACCATAATCTCTTTACCTGTTTGTATGCCTTGAGATCGAAACTCTTGACAAGGGGGATATGATAGAAACATTTAAATACATAAAGGGAATCAACACAGTAAAGGAGGAGACCATATTTAAAAGAAGAAAAACTACCACAACAAGAGGACATAGTCTTAAATTAGAGGGACAAAGGTTTAAAAATAATATCAGGAAGTATTACTTTACTGAGAGGGTAGTGGATGCAGGGAATAGCCTTCCAGCTGAAGTGGTAGAGGTTAACACAGTAAAGGAGTTTAAACATGCATGGGATAGGCATAAGGCTATCCTAACTATAAGATAAGGCCAGGGACTAATGAAAGTATTTAGAAAATTGGGCAGACTAGATGGGCCGAATGGTTCTTATCTGCCGTCACATTCTATGTTTCTATGTTTCTACTCGTCCAAGAAGGTGGGGTGCTGCCTATAATAGCACATCTGCACTATTATAGAGCCTTATCCCCAGGCTCTGAATATTGTGAGTGTATCTACATACTTAATTTGCATATCTGCACTTTTGATAGTACCATCTGCACTAGAATTGTATTATTTTTTTCTCTTTTCATGTCACCCCGCATTAAGACCTCTATATTCTTTTAGTAAGGGGTAAGCAATTATACGACTGTCTATCATCTAGTGCTCCACTCACTGATTACAAGTTCATATCTTGTTAATCATTTTTAGGGTGAGGGAAGGAAGGTATCCTCTCACAGGTGTTTAAGAGCAGCTACTTACTAAGTTTACTTTGAAGTGCTTTTTCTTTGCAAACCAAACTCATTGTGAGTTATTACTGATAATTAAGTAAATAGGTCTAAAGTTGGATGCCATCGGATCATCTCTGTTAGCTTTCGGTAGTAAGATAACACTCGCTAGGGCCATATCTGAATCCAGAATGCCACCCTACAGAAAGTGATTGCATAGGTTTGTTGGATGACATAGGGTACTCTCAGAACCTTTTGTAGTATTCTATGTCGTAGCCATCCGGACCCGAACCTAATTGCTTTTTAGGGCTGTGGTGGCTGTCTCAACTTCGAGCTGTGTAATGGGTGCTCCAAGAACGCCTGCCTCTTCCCCAGTCACCATTGGCAAAGAAATGTTTGAGAAAAAGTAACGCAGTTACTTAATTGTCACTATCATGTTGCGGAGAGTGATTGTATAGAGTTGAATAAAAGCTTGTGAATATCTTGTTGATGTCTTCCGGTGATGTGACCATCTCACCCGACATTGTCTGGATTATGGTAATGTGTTTGAAACCGCTCCTGGGCCACAGAGTCTGATCCAAAAGGGTATCCATCTTGTTTGCTTTTTCCAAAAACATGCACCTGGATCATAACATGAAGTGGGCTACTCCCTCTTCATAACTCCTTTATGGAATGTCAAAGGGCGTTTAATTCAGCCAGTTTGTATATAGTAGGGTTAGCTTCCTGCAGCTGTTCAGCTTTCTTCAAAGCAAATTGTAGACCCTGGAATAACTAAGTAGTGCATTTTTTCCTGTGAGCATCTACCATAATAAGGCATCCCCGTAGGATTGATTTGGTTAAAATAATCCTTAAGTACTCTACTAGTTCCATGGCAAATAACCTCATCCTTGGATGGTAGATTGGTGTTTAGTTTCCAGGTCCAATTTTGAATTTAACAGTCTTCTGAAGCAATATAAATTGTAACTAATGTTCCATAGAGTAAAT